TAATAAGAACTGGATACAGCGTGGGAGGCGGGGCCTCATTAATTCCTATGAGAGTTGCTCAATGGCGCATGATGACAAAATGGCCCAACTTTTGAGAGAGCGAAACGTCACTGATTACCCGGCATGCCTGAGAAGTACCCGTATGTGTACTCATAGAGCATGCGCTACTTTAACCACGCCGCCCAAAAGGCTCGTTTACATTAAGCACGTGAATTTGCGTACACGTAACAGCACCGCGCGTTCATGACAGCATGGTACTGGATTTATATTAACGAGGCGGCAGTTAGCAGCTAGCGGCTAGCTAGTAAATTATGCTAAGTTCCACATCAATCGTCATGTACTTTTATATTACGCTGACATCAGGATCTAGTGATATCCAAGCAACAGAGCTTCACTTAGCATGATACTTGTGTGGGTTGTACATGAAACCACTTGGTAATATATAAAAATGTATATGTTGAAGCCTGTTATGATCAATTGTGAGTTAAAACTTTATCTAAAAAGTAAAGCTGATGATGGATTACTGTGGTGGAGTTAAAATAACAATAGCCTATTTCTTTTTTGAAATGTGATGGAGTAAAAGGATAGTAACTGTGATTATTCATGTTAAGTAGCCCACAAGTAACTAAAACGTATCTCCGCTCCGTGGGCGGAGTACTACTCATATGAACATATGAAGATACAGACTCTGATCTCCCTCCTCATCTCTAACCCTCTTCCTTCCCTTTGCCCCTCATTCCAGTCTGTCCGACCTCCTCCACATGTCGGTGCAGATCTCCTCAGGGATGAAGTATCTGGCGTCCCTAAACTTTGTGCATCGCGACCTGGCCACCAGAAACTGCCTGCTGGACCGCCGCCTCACCATCAAGATATCCGACTTCGGGATGAGCCGGAACCTGTACAGCAGTGACTACTACCGCATCCAGGGCCGGGCGGTGCTGCCGATACGATGGATGGCCTGGGAGAGCATCTTGCTGGTAAGGGGGGGGGGGAGTAAACATGAGACAGGGTTATAGAAAGAATAAAAGAAGACCATTTAGACCCAGTGCTAGCTAGCAATATTTTTCAATGTCCTCCCCTCCCTCCTCTCCAGGGTAAGTTCACCACGGCTAGTGACGTGTGGGCGTTTGGCGTTACCCTTTGGGAGATCTTCACTCTGTGTAAGGAGCAGCCCTACAGCCTGCTGTCCGACGAACAGGTCATAGAGAACACTGGCGAGTTCTTCAGGAACCAGGGTAGACAGGTGAGACGAATCTAACGCACTCCCAAAGGACAGTTCAATTGAGATGTGTCATTCATTGCATAGACGACCTTTGTACCCCTTAAAAAGTATTTTTCTGATTCTTTACTAACGATCTCTTTGTCTTTTCGACTAGATTTTCCTCTACGGCCCTCCGCTCTGTCCACCTTCGCTCTTTGAACTGATGATGTGTTGTTGGAGTCGCGATATACCCGACCGACCCACATTCGAGGGACTTTACCAAGCCCTGAAGCCCCATGTCAACCAGTGAGCAGTGTCCGCTTGGATGTACCACTCTGTGGGATGTCCATATCTGGACTCTTTACAAGAAGATAGACTGACACCACAAAAGAAAGGACTGGAATTATGTTATAAGAGTATGTCAGAGGGGTAACGGAAACTGACAGAACTGTGGTCAGAAAGTGGGTTTTCTTTGTAGTAACATCAGCACTCTATTCTGAGAGACAAAGTTGAGGTAGAAGGAGAAAGGCTTGTGTACTCAGAGGAAAACAAACCTGACAGTTGGTAGTGAACAAATACTTTTAAATATTTCTATTTGATTGCTGATTTGACAGTTTCCCACCTCTCCTTAAAGCCCCTTCGACCAAAACATCTTGTTAAACCTTTTGACACTTTTTTTTCCCATTTTGCTATGGTGCCAAAGTTTGCGTAAACGTTAATTTTCTTCTTGTCTTTGGCTTTTAAAGATGCCAACAACTGGACAGACTCTTCAGTCTTGTTATTTTCAACTGTCCCTGTGGTTTTTATTATTATTGTAAAGCACTGTCTGTGTCTCTCAGTTATTCATGTTCATTTAACCCACACTGGAGCTAGGGTTAGGGTCAAATTGTAGTGTAGTTTATTTTTAGATTTTTATTCTATTTTATTTTACTTGTTGGTCTTTTTTGTGGATATACATTTTGTTTAGCTGAGGTTCACATCACGATGCCAAGAGGCTGCGTTGATACCTGTGTGGTTCAAAGACTGAAAATCAGTCAGTGTGTAACTGTGGGTTATTTAGGAGAGTAAGTGGATGGAGGGCACATTTGAACCAAATAATAATAAAAAAAATGTTGTCCCTTTTTGTTGCCAAAGAGAAATAAAGATTATAAGTAATAAAACATATATCAAATGTATAAAAAAATCATCTTTGTGATTTAACTCCAACAATATAACACTAACATCTAGCACTGGAAACTTTCTTTTTAAAGTACCTTACCTTTGAGTATGTTACCAGTGGAAAATCAAGCCAATTCTAACAACATGGGTGCTGATAGATGGGACATTATCTAATGCAACAATCTTATGTCACGTTATCTCTTTACCTGTGTGCTGGGGCCTGTAAAATGTACACGTATGTTCAATGTGTTTATGTCTATGTTGGAGTCCAGAGATTTGTATGTTTATAGATTAGCCAGCAAGCCTTAGCGCAATATTTAAAAAAGTAAAGTCTGTTGTTTCATTACTAGAATCAAATAATTTAAAATACAATTGTTCAAATTAAGAGTGAAATATTCACCAAACTGAAAAGAGCCCTAAGCAACTCAACTAGTATTGAGATTTTGGCTAGCAACCAACGTTGTTGTTAGCTGACTCAAAAAGCTAGCAAGTTGTAATGTGGGGTAGTAAAACCAGGCTCTGTGTAACACTCGAACCGCCAGGGGTCGCTGTATACCTAAAACCGCCAACAGGTAAAATGTACCCGCTAATAGAATGCATTGATTTTCAAGGTACAATGTTCTTTTATTTATCATACTAGAACACAGGGTTAACAGTGAGTCACACAGTGATTAAACTTATACCAATGGAATCTTTGGACTCACAGCTTTCATATGATATCTAGTTTGTGCAGATTGCATGAAGTATAAAAGATCGCTAAAGTGAGTTATGTGCAAAGTGTCACAATCTTATGAAGGACCCAAATGCAGCACTCGAGAAACCACAGAGTATTGGTAATGTACTTTATTGGTAATAATACCAGAGCAGAGGGATACCGGATAATGTACAGGCAAACAAACCAGAGAGCAGCGGGCAGAAGGTGAGTCAGGGCCGGGCAGAGAGTCAGGGAGCAGGCGAGGCGGTCAGCGTAGGTACAGGCAGGGTCAGACAGCAGGCAAGGCAGGATAGTCCAAGGACAGGCAGGATCAGGGATCAGGCAGAGCAGGCAGGTCGGGGACAGGCAGGGTCGGAACCGGGTAGGCAATCTGATAACAAACGCGTGAAAGACTAGCATAAGGCAAAGTACGATCTGGCAACGGGCGTGTGTCTGGTGAGGGTTTAAATACTGGCAGTGAAACTAATGGGTGCCGTAGAGAAAGAGAGTGAGCAAAAACGTAGGTGTGGTTAACAGGTGAGACAGGTGAATGGAAAACTACTGGTGAATGATGGAGCAGACTGTGACAGAACACCCCCCCCCCTTACCTGACGTCCCTAAACGCTAATCTACAGAGGACGGTGGGAGGAGGGGTTAGTACTCATCTGAAAAAGTTATTTCGGCCTCCTTCTCCTGACCCGGTGGGAATCGACGTCCTCATCAGAAGCAGGCCCCTCGCTGTCCTCCTCGGAAGAAGAGCAGTATGTGGAGAGACTCTCCC